AAGATACTTTTAAAACTTTCATACATTAAGCTTTACTCTTTGTGCTATAAGTTTCTATGGGTTTTGACAAAATTATAACTTTATCTATCCAAAATTATGTAACACAGAACAGTTTTATCACCCTAAAAAACAAAACAAAAACACACAACTATACTTCATGTACTCAATTTTCATCTCTTTCTCCCAAGCCCCTGGCAAACACTGATCTTTTTTATTATCACTATACTTTTGCCTTTTTCAGAATGTCATGTAATTGGAATCATTCAGTATATACAGCCATTTCAAACTGACTTCTTTCATTTAGCAATATGCATTTAAGATCCTTCCATGTCTTTTCATGGTTTGATAGTTCATTTCTCTTTGTCCCTGAATAATATTCTTTTGTGTGGATGTACTACAGTTGGCTTATCCATTCACTTATTGAAGGACATCTTCTTTGCTTCTAGTTTTTTAGAAGCTTTATGAATAAAGCTATTATAAATGGTCATGTGCAGGTTTTTGTGTGGATATAAGTTTTCAACACTTGGGTGCTAGGGTCTGAATGTTTGTATTTTCCCCAGATTTATATGTTGGAAACTTAAAGGTTAATGTGATGGTATTAAAAGATGGAACTTTTGGGAGGTGACTGGATCAGGAGAGCATGAAAGGAATTAACACTTTTATAAAAGTAATCCCACATTGCTCCTTAGCCTCTCTCACCATGTGAGGACATACTGAGAAGTTGGCAATCTGTAACACAGAAAAAGATCTTCATCAAAACCTGATCACACTGGCACCCTCATCTTCCATGCTTCTGACTTACAAGAAATAAATGTTTGTTGCTTATAAGCTGGACAATCTATAGCAGTCCAGATGAATTAAGACACTTCGATAAACACCTGAGTGTGATTGCTGGATTTTAAGGTAAATCTACATTTAGTTTTATAAGAAACTGCCAGTCTGTCTTCCACATTCTGGTTAACTACATGTTTAATTGTTTATTTTATTTTTTAAAGCTTTTTTTCTTTAAGTTTTTATTTAATTGCATTTAGTTAACATACAGTGTTATATTAGTTTCAGGTATACAATATAGTGCTTCAACACTTCCATACACCAGTGCTCATCACAAGTACCCTCCTTAATCTCCATCCCCCCACCCACTTTCTTTCCAGTAATCATCCATTTGTTCTTTGATAGCTAAAGGCTGGTTTCTTGGTTTGCTTGTCTCTCTTTCTTCCCTCTGTTCATAAGTTTTGTTCCTTATATTCTACATGTGATTGAAAAAATATGGTATTTGTCTTTCTCTGACTTATTTTGCTTAGCATAATACTCTCTAACTCCATCCATGTCATTCTAAATGACAAATTTCATTCTTTTTCATGATTAATTAAAATTCTATTTTATACATATAATATGTATAAAATAGAATTTTAATTGGAAGAAGTGGTATGTGTATATATACCACTTCTTCTTTTTAAAATTATTATGTTCAGTTAGCCAACATATAGTACATCATTAGTTTATGATGTAGTGTTTAATGATTCCTTCTTTACCCATTCATCAGTAGATGGACATTTGGGCCCTTTCCATAATCTGACTCTTTTTGATAATGCTGCTATAAACATTGGGTGTTTGTGTCTCTTGGCTTTCCATAATCTGGCTCTTCTTGATAATGCTGCTATAATCATTGGGTATATGTGCCCCTTAGAATCACCATTTTTGTATGTTTTGGATAAATACCTAGGGTGCAATTGTTGGTCATGGGGTAGTTCCATTTTTAACTTTTTGAGGAACCTCCATACTGTTTGCCAGAGTGGCTGCACCAGTTTATTCCCACCAACAGTGTAAGAGGTTTCCCTTTTCTCCACATACTCATCAATATCTGTTGTTTCTTGTGCTGTTAGTTTTAGCCATTCTGACTGATATGAGGTTATCTCATCATAGTTTTGATTTATATTTCCCTGATTATGACTAATGGTGAACATTTTTTCATGTGCCTGTTAGCCATTTTATGTCTTCTTTGAAGAAATGTCTGCTCATGTCTTTTGCCCATTTCTTAACTGAATTTTTTTTATTTTCGAGCTGTTGAGTTGGATAAACTCTTTATACATTTTTGATACTAGCCCTTTATCTGATATGTCATTTGCAAATATCTTTTCCCATTCTGTAGTTGCCTTTTAGTTTTATTGTTTCTTTCACTGTGCAGAAAATTTTTATCTTGGTGAAGTCCCAATAGTGTATGTTTGCTTTTGCTTCCCTTGTCTTTGGAAATGTGTTTAACAAGAAGTTGCTGTGGCTGAGGTCAAAGAGATACCTGCCTGTGTTCTCCTTTAGGATTTTGATGGCTTCCTGTCTCACATTTAGATCTTTCATCCATTTTGAATTTATTTTTATTTATGGTGTAAGAAAATTTCATCCCCGTTTCATTCTTCTTCATGTTGTTGCCAAATTCTCCCAACAACATTTGTTGAAGAGACTGTCTTTTTTCAATTGGATATTCTTTCCCCCTTTGTCAAAGATTAATTAACAATATAGTTGAAGTTCCTTTCTGGGTTCTCTATTCTGTTCCATTGATCTATATGTCTGTTTTTGTTGCAGTGCCATATTGTCTTGATGATTCCAGCATTGAAATACAGCTTTAAGTCTAGAATTGTGATACCTCTGGCTTTGCTTTTCTTTTTCAGGATTGCATTGGTTATTTGGAGTCTTTTGTGGTTCATTAGAAATTTTAGAAGTGTTTGTTGTAGGTCTGTGAAAAACGCTGGTGTTATTTTGATGAGATTGCATTGGATGTATAGATTGCTTTGGGTAGTACAGACATTTTAACAATATTTTTCTTCCAAAACATGAGCATGGAATGTTTTTCCATTTCTTTATGTCATCCTCAATTTCTTTCATTAGTGTTCCATAGTTTTCAGGATAGAGGTCTTTTACCTCTCTGGCTAGGTTTATTCCTAGGCATCCTATGATTTTTGGTACAGTTGTAAATGGGATTGATTGTTTCCTTGATTTCTCTTTCCATTACTTACTTAATTTCTTAATTACTTAATTACTTTCCATTACTTAACTATTGGTGTATAGATATGCAACAGACTTCTGTGCATTGATTTTATATCCTGCAGTTTTGCTGAATTCCTGTATCAGTTCTAGCAATTTTTTGGTAGAGTTTTCTGGGTTTTCTACATACAGTTTCATGTCATCTTCAAAAAGTTTGAGTTCTTCCTAGCTGATCTGAATGCCTTTTTTAAAAGATTTTATTTATTTATTTGACAGAGATAAAGAGAGAGCACAAGCAGGGGGAGTGGCAGGCAGAGGAAGAGGGAGAAGTAGGCTCCCAAACAAACAGGGAACTGGATGTGGGGCTTGATCCAGGACCTTGGGATCATGACCTGAGCTGAAGGCAGATGTTTATTGACAGAGGCCCAGGCACTCCTATTTGGATGCCTTTTATTTATTTTTGTTGTCTGATTGCTGGGATAACAACTGCACATGTGTTCAGTCTAGGTTATCTGTCTAGTTATGATAAATACACAAATTATTTCTTTAAAAATATACTTCATCTATTTTTATCACAAACTACCTTAAGTTAAATAAACCTGGGCTTTCTTTAGACAAAGCAATTATTTAAAGGGGCCATTACCAAATTGTGTTTGGTTCAAGTCTAAATGGAGGGGATTATGCTAAGTGAAATAAGTAAAGCAGAGAAAGACAATTATCATGTGGTTTCACTCATATGTGGAATATAAGGAATAGCATGGAGGATGGCAGGGAGGGGAGGGAAAATTGAATGGGAAGAATGATCAGAGAGGTAGACAAACCTTGAGAGACTCTGGAATCAGGAAAACAAATTGAGAGTTACAGAAGGAAGGGGGTTGGGGGGACCGGGTAACTGGATGATGAGTATTAAGATGGACATGTATTGTGAAGAGTACTGGGTGTTATATACAACTAATGAATTGTTGAATACTACATCAAAAACTCAGGATGCACTATATGTTGTCTAACTGAACATAATAAAAAATAAATAGCTAAAAAATTTAAAAAAAGGAAATTTCTTTCTCTGTACTTTCTTTAAAAAAAATAAAGACTTGATTTTCAGAGAAGTTTTATCTTAACAGCAACACTGAGTGGAAAGCACAGGATTCCTATATACCTCCTTGCCTTACACACTCAGCCTACCCCACCATCAACACCCCACGCCAGAGAGCTATATTTGCTTACAAGCAATAAACCAACACTAACGTGTCATTATCACTCAGACTCCATTGTTTCCAGTAGAGTTCACTCTTGGTGTTATATGTTTTATGGATTTTGATAAATGTATAATGACATGTATCAAACATTGTAGTAATATAAATAGTAGTTTCATTGCCCTAAATCCTCTATTCCACCTATTATCCTTTCCTCTCACTATACGCTGACACTCACTGATATTTTACTGTCTCCATAGTTTTGTTTCTTCCAGAATTCCATATAGTTGATATGTAGTATATAGCCTTCTCAGATTGTCTTCTTTCACTTAGTAAAATGTTCTTCCAAGCCTCTTCATTGTTTGACAACTCATTTCTTTTTAGTACTGAACAATACTGCATTGTCTGGATGGACCACCGTTTATTTGCCCGTTCACTTATTGAAGGATATATCGGCTGTTTCCAAGTTTTGAAAATTATAAATAGAACTACTGTAAACATCCATGCTCTGGTTTTTGTGTGGACATAAGTTTTCTACTCATTTAGGTAAATACCAACGAGTGTGATTGCTGGATCATATGGTGGGAATATATTTATTTTTGTTAAAAACTGCTAAACAGTCTTCCAAAGTATTTGTACCATTTTTCATTCCCACCAGCATGAATGTTGTATTTTCTCTGTTACTCCACATCCAGGTCAGCATTTGATGTTGTCAGTGTTTTAGATTTTAGTAATTTTAATGTACGTGTAGTTGAAACAATCTTATTGTTGTTTTAATTTGCAATTCTTTAATGAGGTATGATGTTGAACATCTTTTCATATACTTGTTTGAAAAGTATGGAATGTGTCACAAACTTACATGTCCTACTTGCACAGAGAATGTGTTAATCTTCTCTGTATCATTCCAATTTTAGTGTATGTGATTCCAAAGTGAGCACGGTCCTTTCTTTTGATTCCCAAGGTAAAGGATGTAACAGGTTAAAACAAACATATAATAATGAAATGAATTGGCATCTGCCATTCATGGAAGAGTCATGCCTATTTCTGTAAAATATAAATAAGAACAGGGCTATGAGTGCAGGAAGGAGCAAGAAGCATCTGGGAATATTGAAGAGAAAAAAATAGTGGAAAAGATGTGTACTTACAGACAGAACCACAAAGACAACACAGGTTTGGTGTATGCAGACAAAAATGGCAGATTTTGAGAAGGAAATAAAAAAAAATGGGCCAGAGGAGTTACTGAAACTTAGTTTTAGAAACACTTATGAAGTTTTCTCCCAATATCTTATTCTTTCACATTTTCCTCCAGCCTCAGGCCCTCTTTACACAGAGTTACAAAAATTCAATTTTAAAGCTTGGGAAAACAGTGCAACTCCACACTTATAAAAGACATCAGATTGCTTGGGGAGAACTATTATTTTAAGCTCAAAACTGGATACTTATGTTTTAAGATGTCTGAGATTCCATACAGTGTACTAGACTTTGTTTTGGAGCTGGAAATTTTTAAAATGGAATAAAACAGTTTTCCTGTCACAATAGAACTTATATTCTAGTGGCTGGAGACAAAAAATAAACAAACAAAGCATAGCATATAAAACGTAGAGCAAAAAAGCAGGGTAAATTGAAAAGTTACTACTAATGTGGCTCACTGTTTTATATAGATTTATTTCAGAAGATTTTTCTCTTCTTATCATATTTAAGAAGAATTCTGATGCAGATGAAGGATTTGGCCATGCTCTGAGAAAGAACATTCTTTTTTAAGACTTATTTATTTATTTTTAGAGAGAGAGAGAGAGTTGGGGAGAAGTAGAGAGTGGGGGAAAGATTCTTGAGCAGACTCCAAGCTCACTGTGGAGGCTGATATGGGGCACAATCTCATGACTTTTTGAGTGTTCTAGATCTCTGAAGATTACATGATCTCCCTGAAATTACATGAGCTCTCTGAGTATCTCACTTTTTTTTTATTAGGTAGTGGAAGAATATGTTTAAATCTTTGATTTTTAAAGACACATCACATTTTCAAAAAATACCAAAATATATTTCTTCCCTTCTCAGATTCATTGCTCCTGGAATGTTATTTTCATTAGGAGTTAGTCTCTATGACAATATAAAGATTTCCAGAGAACTAAGGATTTAAGAAAAGCACAGTTTCAAGTGATTGTTTTTTGAATTTATTTTTAGTCTTTAAAATGCAAAGCCTAATGGTATTTGCTTTTACAACACTGATCATTGTTAATAAGAGAGTGGTTGCAATGGTTAAAGAAGGTGACAATGAATAGGTGCAATAAAATTCAATTGATAGGAATTTACAAAGACCTTAGAAGGAAGCTACAAGGCTTGAAGAATTAAGTTATATGTCTTCTAGTATATTTAATCTTTGATGAAAAAAGTTCTTATTTGTTCATAAGCTGACATTTTTTTGTTTGGGAAATGCTGCTTTAGATTATTTTCACTACAAGTACAAGAATTTCCCTTTTAAGCAACAACAGTTTCCAAAATATTTGGGAGTATTTCCTACCTTTTTTACCACACATATGTAAAAATTTTTCCTTCTATGAGTTATGTTAACACCAACAAATTATTTAAATGTACACTAATTTGAGGCATGATGGAATCATAATAAGTGTACAGTTAGAGGCTTATATTTGGAATTACCTCCTTCAAGTGGCTATATGGCCAGCCCTAAGAGGTCAGATAGTAATTTCCAAGTGAGATTTTTTTCTTGAAAATATTAGTAGATTTACTTTTGAGTTGTTTATAAGCAGCAATGAATTCACCAAATTCACTTTAAAATCTGTCTTGCTAATAATTGATAGACGTACTGGTATTTATAATATTGGAAGAACTGGGATCACATTAAGGATGAATTTCAAGTTTTATATAATCAACTCCCTCAGTTTGATTTCTCCGGAAATAAGTTGCCAATATACATATTGCCAAATATGATGCCAATATACGTGTGTTTGTGTGTGTGTGTGTGCGTGCATGTACTGCAGGAATTGTTCATGGTAAGAGAGGGAGGAGTAAGAGCAGGTGTGGGTGAGATGATTCTGACACCCGTGAAATGAGAGAGGGAGGTTGATTGAGTTAGAATTTCAAACTTAGTGTAGCGTTAAAGAAAGTCTTTAGCTGTCTCTAGGAAGCCCCGAACCAAAGATTGTTCATTATAAGAATCTCTTATCAGGCAGAAATGTCCCTGTACTTCAGCCATGCTCAGAATGATAATCAGTAGCCACACAAACATGAAAAAAATCTATACAAAATATAGATAATCAAGAAAAAACAAGGCAAAATGCTAGACAAAGATACCAACCAACAGAAGAGAGTATAAAAATGAGGCACATATACCTTCATCTAAGACTGTGGGATTCAATAAATAATGTTGGGTAAATTGGATAGTCATATGGAAAAAATAATTTCTAATAAATTGTACATATAAATCTGATAAGTAAAATCATTAATGCCTTTAGAGAAAAAATGGTTGATCACGATGTTGAGGTAGGTAAAAATTTCTTAAACATTGTAGCCAAATCTCCATTAGTAGAGGTAAAACTGCAAAACTGGATGCATTGTTAATAACTTCTGATACTAAAAAGTGAAAAAAATCCCAAAAAGTAGGAGATATACATCTGACAAAGGAATTTTATTCTTAATGTGTAAAAAGTTCTACACACTAAGATATAAATATCCCCTATTGTTGAAATTCCTCACCAGACACTTCACACAAAATGATATCCAAATGATAAATAAGCATATAAAAATGTGCTCTATTTTGTTAGTTATCATAGAAATATAAGTTAAAACATAAACTACTGCACATCCACCAGAATAAGTACCATAAGAAAGAAAGGCAGTTTCATGTGTTAGTTAACTATGAAGCAACTGAAAAGCTTAAAATATGTCTTTTGGTTATGGAATTATTAAAAAAATCATCAGAATGATTATATAATGATACAGTTAATACAAAACAGATGGAAGAGTCAATGAAAGATTATTGTTTATACAGATAAAATTAATGAGAAATTATTTAATTAGCTGTATTGGTGCTGTCACAATGAGACATATTGTGGCGAGATGCCCAGACAATGTTAAGGAAGAGAATCAGCACTATTTGAATTAAATTTCATTGTAAGCCAACATTTTGCTATATATTAAGCATTGTACCAATGCAAAATATTTTTTCATATCTATTACTATCTTTACAAATATTTCTCTAATGTGACAAGAATGTATTTCACAGATACAAGTTTCTGTTCATGACAAGAATGCATTCAGAAGCAGTAAGTTTCTGTGTGGCAATTTTCAAATTTAATTATTTCTCTCTACTATGTCTGGGGTCTTCCAACCTAGTCCCCACCTTGTAGCATCCAAGTTTCTGATTATGTTTGCAGGATAATAAGCAGATTGGATTTCACTTGGGGAAGTGCAGTTAGCCCAACTCACCTGGCAGCATTTCAGCATATCAGCCTGTAATGGTGCTCAAGGTAACAGCTGTGGTTCCATGAGTTCAAGCAGCGTACCCTCACAGGTTCAACATCTGGGAGTCTACTATTATTGCCATTATTTATGATAAGGAAAAAAAATTACAATCAGTATGTAAAAAGCACTCTGTACTTTGCAAAATATTTTCAAATGCAACATGTACCACAATGAACCATGATGTGAGGCATTATTATTATATATTTATAAACTTAAATGTTGGTGGAAACATTTGGATCTGAAATTCAGATTTAAATAATTTTATGTATCTATCCAATTTATTGAACTGGAGTTAACTAAAAAATTATTTTCTGTTTTAGTAAGATGGAGTCACACCAAAATTTAGAAATTTGGCATTTTATAAACAGAAAGAAAATACATATTTGCAAGTCAAAGAGTAAATACCTTATATTGTTAAATTTCTTTTCTGTAAGTGAACAAAGATCACTTTTTCCAACTCATCAAATAAGAAAAACAATCTTTGCCAGAGTCTGGGATAGAATTTTAATTGCTTATTACTAAGCTGTGTTGATCCAAATAATCTCAATATTTTCTTGTTGACAACATATAGATTTTTTTAAATTAAAGGATATTTCTTTTGAATAACGGTGGGTCAAAATGAAACCTGGAATTGTAAATCCTAACATAATATCTATAGCAAAACTGAAACGAAAAGCCAGTACAACAAAAGACGAATTAGAAAGGATTCCAGAAACTACAAAGCCAATATATTAAAGTGAAATACAGAATAAAACTTATCAATGACTAGAATCGTCTATCTACTGCTTACTCTAGACATCATCTTTTTAGGTGGTTTTTGAACCAGAAAGAATGAGTGGGACTTGCCCTTTGGACTTAGCATTTGGATTGTGATGGAACAAAATTTATTCTAGCTTCACTCCATGTTATTAGTGGTACTGAGGTACTTCCTTGCCATTACAAGATCATGATTGCCAGAATAACTTTGCTTTCACTCTTCTTCAAAAACCTTATCAATTATCATTAGCTTCTGTTGATACACTGATTTAATGATGTCATGGTGCAAACATTCAAAAATTGGCCATTTTAAGCTTATATTCTTTCTATTTTCCTAGTACTATTTTAAGAAAGAATTTGAGGAAACATGGTAATTTTGGAGAAACACATTGTTCCATGTAGTATTGTATTACCTTTTAAAATCTTATAATCATATCACTGTATGTTTGTTTGTTTTGGTATATTTTAACATTAAAAGTGTTATTTCTTCACCCTATCTGCACATGCGAGATAGGCCCAAAACTGGGCCTGTGGTTCTTATTATACACTCTATATATCACCAGTATTATTTTAAAATTATGTAATTGTAACATGCAAACCATGTTTCAAACTTTCTCTTTTTTTTCTAAGTTAGTGTTTGACCAATGTAACAAAATGTCAGAAATAAAATAACAAATAATGAATTATGCCTCTTTTCATTAGT